AAACAAGCTTCACACTAATCGTAAGGATAAATAGAGGTATTTTACTGAATTTAGAAGCCGTTTATGTAGAACGTCTTTTTTCAAATTGGTCATTTGCTCGAGAAGGAAAATAATTTACACCTTTTACCTCTTCGGCGGCAAAACTGAAAGAAATCAAGTGTCCAAGCGAAAGCACTGAAAGTTTAACATGTTTAACGTCGCGATTGACATAAGGTAAGTACCTTGAAATGTTTTAGAAATGCTGTTCAAGTTCAGCTCTGTTTTGTACTTTTCTAAGTACCACGATTCAGGACGATTGCAAGCGCGGCGTACTCTTTTTCGTGTTTTCAGGGGTCATGTCCTCTTTGAAGGTATTTATTTCTTCTTCTGTATATGGGACAATCGACCCCGGCACTTCCTCCGTTGTCGCTTCTCCGTTTTGTTTGGTTGAACTTTGGATTGCCATTTTCTGGGCCGTGTTCACAGGATTTTCTTGTTTTCTGGTTGTCGCGAGTGAAAGAGGTTTGATGTCTCTTCGAGAATCTGTAGTTCAGTTCAAAACAAGGAAGAACCTCCGGCTCACTTTAAAAAACGCTTTTGTTTGTTTTTAACTCTTCAAAAAGTGACAATGAATGGTTTTGAAAACATTTTAAAATGACATTGTAGAAAACCTTTTTTGCATGTTGTTGTGTTAGAATTTGACGATAGTTGTTACGTAGATGCGAAACAATATCGCTTAGCCTCGTTTTCAACTCGCAATTCCACACTAAATACCTCGCTTCGTTAACCAATCAGAATGCGAGATTTTACTTAATTATGCGATTCTAAACTGAATCAGTTAGAATACTTCTCCTCGTGTCCAACGGCGCAACTCAGCGCTACGCGCCTCGCTGACTATTTAAGGATAGGGACCTTAAGCAAAGACGACGACGACAATGAATTTGCGTCCTTTCAAACTTTATCGCGTCTATTTGGAACCGCTCAATTCGACAAATGTAGGCGACTTTTCCTGGAGTTGAATTCTTAAGGGCTTTATCCATGTTGAAATAGAGAAAGAAAAATTTGTCGTAGTATGTCCACGTCCTCCATATAACGTCGCATTGGGAGGTTTTACGTCGTAGTCGTGCAGTGGACGTCAAAGAAATGTACTAAAAAGCGTGATGCACGTGCAGAGCTATTGTTTTGGTCATGACGTTGTTGTCTTCGTCGTTGTCGTAGTTGCTGAAGGTCCCAAATTATTTCTCGAGCCCGAATGGGACTGTTGACTCAGAGGCTTTGAGGGCGGGGGGAATAATTGTTTTAGTCAACTAGTTGGTCAAAATTATCGAGATAAAACAACTTAAGCTAGCAAAACGCGATTCAGCCGCCATTGTTTTGGTTTTCAAGCCGGCGCTTTTCGCTACGAGTGGGCTATAACATATAGCCTTGTGGTAGCTCAACCAATCAGAACGCAGCATTGCTAATAGACCACTAGCTGGAATTTACTAATAAGCCATAGAAACTCGAACGCGTAGGCCCTTGCGGCTAGTCATCCACGTGGTACAAAACCACCATGCTGGAGAACAAGGGACGACTGGGACAAGACAAACAAAGGAATTTACCATTCGCCATACGATGGGATGCACTGGGACAGAGGAAACAAAAAGGTCACATCATTCGCCATTTTCACATAGACCATAATGCACCTTGTTTACTCCCCGCCATAAAATAAATTGCATAACTATTGTTTCTAATTTATCCTGGGTATTAGAGTCGTCCCTAGAGAAGTCGAAGACAATGGTTATGCATTTTTTTGGTGGGGGGGGGGGGGGGGGGGGGGGAAACGAGGTGCATTATGGTCTCTGTGAAAATGGCGAATGGTGTTTCGTCTGTCCCAGTGCGTGCATTTTTCTCCAGCATGCGGTTTTGTACCACTTGAATGACCAGCTGCACTGAAAGGACCTATTGTTGATTAATCAGGGAACGAAAACTAAGAATTAAACTTGATTAATGTAATTTTACAGAATTTAACACTGGATTAAGCCTGAAATGGCAGCAATACAAGGCAATGCTGTTAAAACGTTTCCTGAATGCTAGACGAGAGAAGAGACTGGTTTTAACCCAGCTGATACTACCTCTGTTGATGGTTTGCTTGGCATTACTGCTTATAAAGACACTACAGGAACCAATGCAGAATGAACCTCCACGCATACTGAACTTATCCAATTTGAGCATTAAAGGGGCTCCCAACACTGGCTTCTACGCTGACTTCCGTCCTGGCATTAAGAACGAACTTTTTGACGTGAGTTGCGTGCATGACTTTTTTAAAGCAGGGTTAAGATAACCCGGGATTAGTGCGAAATTTGAATTCAGATATGAAAGCTTAAAAAGCAAATTCAGTTTTATTCTTTTTGCGTACTATTCGATGATTGGATGCTCTAAAAAGAATAGAGAAAATTATCGGGAAAATGCTTTTGAAAAAAAGAAAAAGAAACCCAGGTTAAAATTTAACCGTGGGTTAGCGCTACTCGGCTTTCGAACAACTGGGCCCTGTTGAATAATAGAGGCTAACGTGACTCCGTTAAAATGTTTATTTTCAGGTGGCTTCTAAACACTTAAAGGACGTAAAAGTAACCTTGAAAGACATTAAATCAGACCTTCAAAAAATACAGAGTGGCAACCAAGGAAACAATATATTGGTGAAGGGGGAAAAGTTTCTGTATAAGGACGATGAAAAGGACGTATGCTGTAATTACGAATTTCTGGTCCTGAATGCCAAGTGCAAGAAAGCTGTAAGTTGCTGCCAATCCTCAGTTTGCAACTACTTGATGACAGGGCCAACGTGATGCGAGTGGTTAGCAAAACTATAGAGACCTTTAGTTTGGAGGAAGAGGTCATACTTTTTTCACCAGAGTAGCACGGTTGTTATTATTAATGGAGTTTAAACCCTGACTTGATCGCAAAATGATTGATCTCCCTCTCGTAGTGAAGTCGTCACTAAGGTCTCTGATACATTTTTTCGTAGAGTTTTTTCAAAGCAAAGGGAAACACTCTTGTTTTTGTCAACAAACATGACCTTCACATGTCTGCTGGAATCCAAAAAATCCTGAAAATAAAACTACAATCGCACTTTGCTCCCTTACCTCAGTCTCAAAGCATAGAATGTAGAACCACCGTAATTATGTGGCACTCAGCTGAAATCTGCATTAAAGAAGGATTTAACTTTCTCCATTTTTCCTTTGAAGTTCACATCAGGAAAATTGACTGCTGCATCTTGCAAACAAAAAAAGTTTGGTTACAATCACTGTCCTGATTGTATGAAAGAGGGCAGAAGGTAATAATAATAAGTAAATACCAGTAGCAATGTTTATCGCTCTCCTCGAAACACGCCATAGCAGTCGGTTGATCAAAACACGTTTCGCATTTACTGATATTTAACCCTTTAATCCCTAAGAGTGATCAGCATCAAATTTCTCCTTGTAATGGCAGTGCTTTGTAAAACAGACTGGTCATGAGAATTAAGGACATGATCACACAAGATGTATTTGCTTGATATTTTATCAACTTCTCCCCACTATTCCTATAGTAAATGAATAGGGGCGACAAAGGAGAATTTTGATTTTGATCGTAGGTTTAAAGGGTTAATTGAGCTTCGAAACGTCATGGTAAGTCAAATTCAAGGAAAGAATAACTAGAGGGAGCTTACATCGGGGGGAGGGGGGGTGGTGTGGTGCGTGTGGACGCGTATTTTTTCAGAAACGGAGGACAAAATTCTCCTTTTTCAAAAATACCCCGATACGTGTGGACAAGGCCTAAACCTACTGGTTTTTTTTTGCCGTTTTCGCTGTCTTCGCCGTCGTGATTGCTTAAGCTCCCTATAACACCATTTTTCCGTTTTCCTTTCAGCTCGTCCTATGAATGCACAAACATTGGAATTGGTGAGACGAAAGTGAACGATTCGATGACATTCTATAATGAATATGTGTTGGAAGAAAGTAATGCTGCTGATTATTTTAACACACATGTTATGGGTTTTAGCTTTGAGTCACGTGACGATAACTCGACTGGTGATCTTGAAAGTATTAACGCGACAGTGTGGTATAGCTTTAAGGTGGGTAGGATAGACAGGACACGTTATGAAGTTTACACAATGCAGTATTCCTTATCGCTCACATGACGTTATGTCCGCCATATTGTTTCTTTCAGTAAAATTACTGGGTTTCCCGTATCGTTACGTTAACAGAATAATGCGTTGTGTAAACCTCACAAGTTATCCAATCTGGCTTCAGCCAATGTTATCTAATGCTAACCGTCCCAAGGCAATGAAACGGTGGCCATGTTGGTGTTCCAAAGCACGCTCCTGCGGGAGTTGAGCCTTTTTGTTATGAAAAAACATTTTGGTGGAAAGAAGTTTGCGTAGGTGCTGGCTACGTGAGTGAAAACCCTGTACAGTATACAACAGCGATGAGGAGTACTACATTGTTTGGGCTGATGCACCATATGTCACAAAGAACACAACAATGATCCCTAGCCCTTACACAATAACGCAATACACTTCACACAATAGAACGATACAATAGTGCATAGATTGACTGGGTGTTACATCGAGCATCACCCATTTGAACTTCATACGTTGTGCAAGAGAATTTATGCCAACGTAATCTTGACTAATGCTTATCTTTTGCGACTTGCAAATAGTCCTAGCATGTAAGAAACTGGCTAGAAAATTTCAAATTACTCGGATTTCACAATTCGTCACACGATTTAAAAATGAAAGAATTAGACAAGGTGTCATTGCGAAAATGCCCTGTTGGCGTATTAGTATGTGGATTTGCTGATGTATTTTTAATTACTTATTTATTTATGTGTTTAACTTTGCACGTATTATTTTGATCAGGGCTATCATACAAAACCAGATGCACTGAATGCTTTGGTGAACGTTCTGTTGGCCTACAGCAAGAAAGATGACTCATATCACATTGAGACCATTAACTATCCTCTGCCACTCAATTCCAAACAGCGGGTAACTTCCTTAGCATAATTGCAGTCTTGATAATGATAGATAATACATATTTCTTTTTCCCACTTTCTACATCATAATGCCAAATAGTGAAACTATAAAAAAAATAGTCCAGTTTCGAATTAAAAATTACCGCTGAATACAAACATTTACGACACATTCATACAAGGTTAGCCTCGACATAAAGTAAAATATTCGGAAATTCTGGCAAGTAATCATTGTTTGAAATTTGAATGTACAAAATAGACAGAGTAATAAACAGGTCTTTTTTCGTTGGAATTTGTAAATATACTACTTCAGATGGTGGCTAAGCCTGTAAAAATGCGTCTTTACTTCTTCAATTCAGCGGTCATAGCGAAAAAGCAGTGTATTGCAAGGGTAGAAAAAGCCTTACATTTTATCCTGTCCATTCATCGTAAAAAATTGATTTCAAGAATGGAATTAAAATTGCCATCAGTTTTTCGTCCTTTCTCTGAATAATAACATGTCTTCAGCACTCAAGAGTGTCTTGTTGCCTTGTTAGAAAAATATTTTTGTTTTGCCAGCAGGCATCGTGGGTCACCAGAAAGTCATTTGTAGTGTACGTTTCCCATAGGCCTTGTTCACACTTAGCGTATTAAAATCGTTTCCCCCGCCCGTCCACACATAAAAGCGAAAACGATGGAAACACAATTGCATGCTTTACGGGGCATTTGTTGTATGATGATGACAAAAACGATAAGCCTGGGTTTTCAAAAAACACCACTCTGAGGACAGTTTTAGAAAACCTGCGTTTTTTATGCCCGAAAAACGCCGTTTACGTGTGGACGGAAGGCTAAAACGAAAAAAAAATATCTCCGTTTTCAAACGTATCAGGATACGTGCTTTCTTTAGCAAATTCCTTCGTGAATTTTTGTAATGACCCACTATGCTAATCATGTTATAAAATAATAATTAAGATTGTTTGTTACTTGTGCTAATAACTCATTCAAGTCCTTTGTGTGTTTTGTTTTCTCCAGAGTGAAAATATCTGGGCTGTCATGAGCTCGTTTTTCCTCGCTCTGCTTTTGGCTTTCGCTGTCGCGTTTCTTGCAGCAAGTTTCGTGCCATTCTTGGTGAAGGAGAAAAGTTCAAAGGTTTGGTTTACTTTTGTACATTGAATGTTTTGGTTCATTTGCGCACACGTAGAATGCAAGCAGTAACTTGTTCTCTTCAACGTCACTGGGTTAACACGCGCGAGCTGCGAGCGGCGAAGCCGACGGCGCTAGTAAGTAGGTCGTTTTGGCTTAAAGCTAAACTCGACAGATCTAAGAGAAATGGAGAAACGGACTGCAAACAGTCTATGTGCACAGTTATCATGGTCAAATTCATTTTGACAATTACCTTTATCTAGAGTTCGTATTAGCGAAGTGCCCACTTGACTAACAATCACTGCGGTTCCCTTTCTTGTGTTCGTGCAGGCAAAGCATCTCCAATTTGTAAGCGGCGTGGACGCCGTCTCCTTTTGGCTGGCCACCTATTCATGGGATCTCATCAACTACTTATTTCCACTGCTTGGAATTATGATCTTGTTTGCAGCTTTTCAAGTAGATTCACTGAAGAATGATCTTGGTGCGGTTTTTCTGTTATTGGTAATGACAACGCTATAATTTAGTCTGGTCCAGGCGTTCAGATAGTGGAGAATGGCGCGAAGCGACTTAAGTGAGCAGGAAAAAAGGAGAGAGGGCGAGAGAACGTCGTTCTCTTTCTTCGTCCACTCCCTCTCTACCGTTTACTATTTCGAGTTACTCTCCACTATCTGGACGCCAAGAACGGGCTGCTATAATTAAATTTTGAATATTCAGGTTTAGCAAACACCCAACCGAAGAACATTTTTAACCGTTAATTTTCTATGCGACTGCACGTGATTACAGCCATTAATTAATATTGTGTTAGATTTTTAAGGGTTCTGTATGACGTCATCATAATTCAAAATGGCAGCCCACGGATATTTTGGCCATACCCACACTAATCCAAACAAGTCTTTATCCGGGTTCCTGTGGACAAAACCTTTAACCGCTCTGGAGAGCGGTTTCAAAATGATGCGGTTTCGGTGTCCGGATTCACTGGTTTCGTGTGGACCGAAGGTCCGTTCGTGTAAAAAAGTATGCGGTTTTGAAAATATACAGATTCGTGTGAAAGGGGCGTTTATCGCGAAAGTTTTCACCGAGACCATAATGCACCTTTTTTACACCCCCCCCCGCAAAAAAAAATGCGTTACCATTGTCTGTGGTTTATCTTGGGACGACTACAATGGCTATGGTCACATCAGGTCTACTAAGTATAGTTAAGACGGGGATAACTATAGTTAGCTATTTCGGTAATGTGACCGCTTCTCTGTTCGCTCTAACTATAGTTAGAAAATGTACGCCTCGGTGACCCAAAACAATAAAGACTAACTATAGTTATACACACGCAGGGTTCGTGGGTTAGTCTTAAACAACCAATCAGAATGTGACACTTCTTTTCGCACTTGCGAGGTGAGCATATATAGATATGCAAAATAAAAACCAAGCGTGAAGCGCGGGAGAAACCAAAAACAACAAACAAAAAATTTACATAGACTAATTAGAACTAACTGTTGTTAACTGCTTGGTATGACCGCAATGTCGACCGAAAGCACTAACTACAGTTAGGTATGACATCACGTAACTAGACACTAACTTAAACTTTAGTTACGTGGTGGATGTGACCGCAGCAATAACAAATTAAATTGAAAACAATGGCTTTGTATGAATTTTTGGTTTGGTGAGGGGGGGGGAGGGGAAACAATGTGCATAATGCTGTCGGTGAAAGAAGGTTAAACAATGTGCATTATGCTCTAGGTGAAAATGGTAGTACATTCAATTTTCTCTCCATTAGAAAAATAGTTACACGTTAAAACTTGTTTCTATCAAGTTAGCTCCTCTTCTTGACAGTGGATTTGCCCTAAAATAATGCAATGCACTGCTCAGTACACAAAACTACGTTTCCGTTTTCCTTTATTTTTTAGCTTCTTTTAGGGTTGTGTATGCTGCCATTCGTCTACTTGATTTCATTCCTGTTCAAGGGGCCGCTTGCAGCCTATGCGACGACCGTTTTTGTCCTGTCTGTTGTTAGTATGGTAAGACCAGTCACCTTTATAGATGATATAGTTGAACTTACACAACTACACAGGGACTATCATTGGTTGATTCTTGGTCAAGTGACCTTGACAAAATTCGAATGCATCCCGACCGTGATACAATTCAGTAATTGTAACCCGCACATGATTTAACGGCATGCGATCAAAGTATGCTGGACAGTTGTGTTACCGAAGGCGGGAAAAACGCCGCCAGTTTCCACGTTTTGGAATCGAATGGACACAACAACATCATGAAGCCTAGAGCTAAAAAGCACTTATATTTTCGAAGTTATCCAAGATGAGATGCAGAGAATGTTTAGTGGAAAAATCAGAAGGGACAAACCGACCCTTTGCAAGCACGAGATTAAGGGCCTGTTTACAATGAGGTGGGGCACCCCAGGTAGGTGAGGTAACAGGTAGGTGAGATAACATGTGGCGGGTTCCCCCACCTTCATGTAAAATGGCTTTGTAGGTGGAAAGGACTTCTTCTTAATGGTTTTACGGCCTTTGATACAACCAGCGACTACCTCTCCCCGTCGTCAATAAGGAGAAATTTTGGTTTTGTGGCGGTATAACCATGCTTTTTTTTTCATTTTAGGCAATTCTGATAACAAACAATATCCTAACTTTTAACGGCAAGAAAGACGATGCTGATATTGTTCACTACATCGGTCTGTTCTTTCCGACCTACTCGTAAGTTTGCCTTTTTTCTTACATATTTACCTGTTGGTCTTTATTCATGTTGCTCGTCTTCTGTAAGACGGATACCATGTTTATTCGAATAAGCGCCCATCCTGAAGGCAGAAAAAAGTTAATAGGCGCCCAGCCTCGAATGAGCGCCCAGCCCTTCCCCCTCCCACTCAAGCTCAAATAAGAGATAATAAGATACCCTTCCGAAGACGGAATTTTTTTTTTTCAAAGTATTTTACAGAAACCTTACTTTGTTAAATCTTTGGGTTTTGTTGTTACCATGTCTTGAAAAATATTTTGTTGCAGAAATATTTTTTCAACACGAGATATAAAAATGAAAACAAATATTTCACTTTAATTGCTGAAAAGGTGATATTTTGGTAAAAAAATTTCGCGCGAAAGCTCACTTAGTATTTCCCAAGCTGAAAATGGTAAAAATTTAATCTGAGCGCCCAGCCTCGAATAAGCGCCCACTCTTAAGGTCTAAACATTTAAGAAGTGCCCAGGGCGGTTAATCGAATAAATACGGCATATCGGAGAGAAGAAGAAGACAAATGAAGTGTCAAAATGGCGGCAAATTTGGACGTCTCCTAAACAAAAAAAAATAAAATCTAAAAAAGTTATGTTGAGTTTAAATCGCATGGGTTCTCGTTTTAACACAGGTAGCCCAAGCTCGAAATATGACCATCAGCACTGTTGCGTAACGTTCAAAATATAAGGATTTGTATGAGAGAATAAATAAATGTTTCTGTAGCCTACGGATGTGAAAGGATTTAAATAATGATCCGGGTAAGGTGGATAGCAATTTCTCTTGTTATGCGGCAACGATGCTTTTAAAGCCAGACCATGATCGAGAAATTTTGAACTTTAGGAAATGCGATTTGCAGCGTTTTTGGGCATTTTAACTTTTTTCGAGTTAATTTAAGTGAATTTTAAAAGCAATAATCAGAAACAAGCTACATAATCTGGGTGACCGTTAACCTCGCCAATGGTTTTGATCAGTATTTGTTCAAAAAAAATTTGAGTTAACGTACGTAGCCCCTTGAGATCGATGATATGGTAATTTTTTCATAGTATATTGACTGAATTGCTGAATTCTTTGTAATATCATGATGCGTTAAAAATATCCGATGATCGGTTATGTAAAATAAAAATGATCGGCGAAATTCATCAAAATTTTACCGAGGCGAGTGCCTCGGTTGGCCTCATACTAGCTACGGCGCTGCACATAGGAATGTTCTCATTTTTACACAGAGAATGCATAAACCTTCATGAAGGCCGTTTACGCAATAAAATGCATTTATACTCCACTTTGAAAGGGTTTTTTTTTGTGTTAAAAGATTTTGACCAATCACAAGAGTTGAAAACAATAGTCAAGAAAAGTTTACAATTTTTCATGTTCCCCACATAGGATTTCTTTGTTATTCAAACTGAGACCAGATTTTGTTATATGGAAGATGGTTGGAAAGTAAGGATGAATATATGTACGGCTATTTGAAGTTTTGTTAACTTTTGCTGTTTAAGCCAATCAGAAGTAAGTACAGACAATAGAAAAGTTAGCACCTTTTTTGCATTCCAACATGAACGTTGCCGTTGTTGCTATCGTTCTTATCTGGACCGTTTCTTAAATAAAAATCGGCTAACCTTCTTCTTTCCTGTTTGGTTTCCAAGCCGATATATGGCCATTTAATGAGTATTGCGGGAACCAGTTTGCTCTCTCCAATGGAAAGGATTATAGAGACCTATAGAAAGGGCAATTAACCGGTTCCAATAAACCCCATTTTTTTATGGCTATTTAAAAATATTTCCAGCTTGGGCCACTTGCAGTTCAGTTTAACCCTTTCCCTGGCAAATGTGACCAAAGGCAAATTTCGAGCAAATTTCCAAATTTCATTATCTAAAATTTTGACAAAGAAATAGCATCATGTGAAAGTACAGGCAGAGTGCTTTCATTTGAATGGTCACATCATAGGATTTCATCCGCAGACTCAACAGTTGGAGTCACCTTACAAAACTCTATCAAACACTCTGGTAGTGAAAGGGTTGATAAAAACCTAAAATCTTTAGGTCAGGGCACTATAAATTAAGTAATTATGAACATTCTTTGTGTTCGTTTATTAACAGCCTTTCTGCCAGTATCATGGACATCAGTCAAAACAATATGAATCGAAAACACTGCGAGTAAGTAAACAATCCCCTGTTCATTTTTTTTTTTTTGCCTTTGAATTAAATTTGTTTGAAATACATTCATTTAAATAAACCCACTTCTCGAGATTCATTTCTATTAAGTTTGTTTCGTTGGAAGCAAATTTCACCACCAAGCCTCCTTTTGAAATTAAAAATAAACGAAGCTTCACAGAAATGAATTCAAGGTAGTAGAGTTGAAAAGAAATTACGCACAAAAAGTGCAAATGCAAAAAATTTTGTTCACAAACGAGGCTTGTTGGTGAAATTTACTCGTCTGACGTAATCATGCAAAGGTTCGATCCTTTGCACACTCCTGGGATTTCACTTAGTAATGGTTCGATAGGGGAGGGGGTTCTCCTGGGAATTCTTGGTGACCCTCAAAAATGCTCGGTTTTCCAAATCCTGACCCTCAAAAAATGCCTGGCCTTTTTCACATCCATTCTCACATCTGGCTTTTAAGAAATTATGTCATCATTAGTTAGATTAGAACAGCAACAAAAAATATTTCTTAAAATTCATTTCGAATTCGCAGATTTCTCTTTCTTTCTTATTCGTTTGGAATGAAACAATAAATACGTTCGTGTATTCCCCTGGTTCCCTTGCAAACCATATCCGATTCCGGACCAAAATGAACAAAGTCAACTTAAAAACCCGTTTTCAGACCAAAACGGCGCAGAGCCGTGCCCTTTGGGGCGGCACATACCCATATGACTTATATAGGGGAGTACCCCCCTCCCCCCGCGGGAGGGGGTTTGCTGTATGGCAAGCCATTACAAAGCTTTGAATGTTATCAGTCGAAGCCTTCCTAGGTTAATTTAAACGTCCTTAGGCCTTCTTGTGCAGTCATTACGGTTAATTTTCAACGTAATTGAAAATAAAAAAATTCTAAATTGTAATTTGTTTACCCGCTAAGCACTAAGGAGTTCTTAAAAACTCGTTTAAACGTGTCCGCGCGTTCCAGATCGAATTGGAATTTGGAAGTATTGATTTTTGAGGAGAGGTGAAAACCGGAGTACCTGGAGAAAAACCTCTCGGAACAAAGGAGAGAACCAACAACAAACTCAACCCACATATGGCTTCGATGCCGAGATTTGAAGGCGGCCACACTGGTGGGAGGCGAGTGCTCTCACCGCCGCGTCACCATTGCCCCCCTAACTAGCCAGGAATGGTTCACTGACTCGATCGCAGTCAAAGCTTTGTGATTGGAATGAGCGCTTGGGTGGCGTGCCATCCAGAGCCGTTGCTAAGTGGTATCCAAGCACGCGACCAGTTTCTGCAAATGAATTATTGTTACTCTTATCTTAAAACTGTCATTGACTCTGCAGACCTGGCCTTCCTTGCACGTCGACAGAAAATGTTCTTGATTGGGACCGTCCGGGGGTGGGTCAGGCTACATTGTACATGTTCGTGGAGGCGATTGTTTTGTTCCTATTCATTCTTCTTATTGAGGTAAACATTTCGCTAGACTTTTCGTCATGCCCTATTTTGTCGTGCGATTGTTAAGTGCGAACACGTTTTTCAAAA